AACCCTAAACCCCTAAACCTTCTAGAAGCCTAAACGGACCCTCTACAGTAAGCATGAGCCGCCAGGTCGCATAGTAGTCGGGCTCAGGGGCAGCCATGACCTCATCCGAAAGGGGGGTTTTACACAGAATTAGAATGGACATTGAGGGTATTATGGTTTAGGGTTTAGGGTTTAGGGTTTAGGGGGTATAATGAGAGCAAAAATATATTGGGAGTGTAAGAAGAATATGGGTACGAACTCAAGCCCTATATGAGGAATCTTGTTCTAAACGAAGAACTTTATCGATGTGAGGTTCAGGTTGCGGGTGTAGGTGTAGAGTGTAGGCTTTACGGGTCAATGCTGCCAGTGTCCCGAGTATCATGATCCATCAACACCAACCCCCCAACTCAATCCTAACCCCTTTTCATCCACACTGCAAAACCTCAGTCCTGACCCCCTAAACCCTAAACCCTCAATCCTCAGCCCCTAGACCCTCACCCCCTAAACCCTAAACCCTCACTCCTAACCCTCGGAGCCCTCAACCCTACACCCTGAACCCTCAATCCTAACCCCTCATCAAGAATCACAAAGCCCCGGAGGGCTTCTAAAGCCATGAACGAGGCCGAAACCCTAAACCCTAAACCCTGAACCCGATTTGGAGAACTTAGTAAGTAGGTTATAAGTAGGGTTATAAGTAACCCCCCCCCCCCAATTATAACCCTACTTATAACCGACTTACGAAGTCCCGGGGCCTCTAAGTATATGCCCGGGCTGCAAAAACGGAGCTGCAGCCAACATCGCGAGCACCGCGCTTTTCCCAAGCCCCAGAGAGTCTCACGCCGCCATGCTACATGAGAGTTTCGTTTCTGGGACATGGCCGAACCCAATACCCCCCTTTAGTCAGGGAATATACCTTAAATTACAGGGGCCTTTATCTTATGGTTTAAACCCTAAACCCTAAACCCTAAAGTGTAGAATTAAGGGGTATTGGGTTCTCTTGCGGCTAAAGAAAACTGAGACTATCTGCCCTCTCCGCGGGAGTTCCAAGAACTGCCACGAGAGCCCCAAACCTCTTGAAGCAGAAATATCCCGTAAACTATAGCTGATAAAAAGGGTTTAGGGTTTAGGGGTTTAGGGTTTAGGGTGTAGGGTTTAGGGTTTAGGGTTTTGGGGTTTTGGGTTTAGGGTTTAGGGTTTTGGGGTTTAGGGTTAGGGACCATGAAGGGATCCTTCACATGACTTCTCAGTTCAAGGGTACTGGGGCTCACTGGTTCAGTGCGCCTCACGTACAGGAGTCGCAATAGATCCCACAGACAATTCGAAGGCCACAACACTGAACCCTAATCCCTAAAACCCTTAACCCCTTAACCCCTAAATCCCCTAAACCCCCAAACCCGAAACTAAGATCGCTGCACGCGAGGGTGTTTACTTCCTCAGTCCCTGCATGACCTTAAGGACCCTAAACTACGGGAATTACGGCATATTCCTCAAAGAACAAACCTAAAACCAACTAAGATCGCATTGCGACTCCTCGTCATAGCTATTATTTACCAGGGCTCAGTGTGCAATGAAGCCGGGGCCTCCCAGCCGAGTGTTTGGCGGGATCGCATGCGAAGCACGCTGCGTGGCTCCAAGGACACACCAAGCTCGAGCCCGTTACCACCGGGCCCTTTCCAACCAACCGAGACGCTCAGGCTTGCTAAGTTCTTGCTGGCCCGGACGGATCCGAGAATCACTAAGAGTGATTCAGGTTGCGGGTTTAGGGTTCTTGCTAAGTTACAGCTCGTAGGATTTAAACTAGATTTTCGGCTTTCTTTCACGCTAACCTAAAGTGTTTCAGCTGAGATCATAGCAAGAACCGAGCCGTGGCTGAAGCTTCTGCACGCCGTGTGTGGCTGAAGTTCATGCCGCACGCCTCACGGTTGCTGGGCTTTAAACACTTTGGAAACCTGCATGGGTTTCAATCAACGGAAAAAACAGGACAGGAAAATAGCAAATCGCCTCGTGATGGGGGCACCATGGATGTCCAAAAACCTGTGACCACAACCCTGAACCAACACCTAAACTTCTAAACCTTCCTATGACCACAACCACTACTACCATGCACAGTTTAGAGTGTAGGCAACTCAGAAGCCAAATTGACCACTGCTCCCATCAGGCTTGTTGATTTCAAGCCATGGGCATGTCTGCCAAAGCGACGTCGAGTCTTAACGACAGTCAATTTGGTCAGCAACCCGGACAGCAACAAGCAGAGCCAGTTGCAAAAGAACTCTTGGGCCAGGCCTTTGCAACCACGAAAGGGCTTAGGGTTGAAGTTGAGAGCTAGCAGACTTGTGGCTGATATAGGGGCCGTAAAAAAAAAAAGATCTTTAGAACAAGGAACACCTAAAATAGTACAGGTAATTATTTAGGCCCGCCTCCTGCACGGTTCGGGGATGTGGCCACAGGCCCACTCTCTGGCACAGCGGGAACGTCGCGTGAGATGAAGGAAAACTACACCCTAAGCTTTAAATCCAAACCCCTACCATGAGTTCCCGCTGCATGCGAAAAGTTATTATGATTATGATTGCTACTTTTGCTAGTATTCCCAGTATTTACTAATGTTATCATACTTAACTCAGTAATTAATGATTACTGTTATTATTGTCAACAATCATTGTATCAACGTTAGCTAAGAAATAATTCTTGTTGCTTGTTGCTATTATTGTTGATATACTATCTTGTCTATTCCGTGCACTCAGTTACACATGCCTAAACCCTAAACCCTTTCCCCTAAACCCTAAAACCCTAAACCGACTCAATTACACATCCTAAACCCTTAACCCTAAACCCTAAACCGACTCAATTACACATCCTAAACCCTTAACCCTAAACCCTAAACCGACTCAATTACTCTAAGGTAGAACCCATGGGCCCCTAGTATGGGCCCTTAACCCTGGGACCCTATATACCTACTATATACCCTATATATACCCTTAAGGGACCCTAGAATCCCCTAAGGGCCCATGTTAGGGGCCCATGGGTTCAACCTTAGAATTACACATCCTAAACCCTAAACCCTAAACCCTAAACCCTAAACCCTAAACCCTAAACCCTAAACCCTAAACCCTACACCGACTCAAATACACATCATCTCAATGGCTCCCCGGACTGAGACAGTCGTCTCGGCAGCCTCGAGAACCTCCACCGTCTCGCGATGGGAGCCCTCCTTACGCTTGAGGGTTTACACGGAAATCCGATCATTTTCTAAGGAATATGAGAAAACCCTACTGATTCTACTATAGGTTCCGTTTATGGTTTTTAAGGTTTAGGAGGAAACCCTGTTATATACTATGGATTCCTATGATGGTAACTTGGAGGAAGTTCCTTAGCAAGAACCCGGTCCTTATTCGCCTTCCGCGCGATCTGAAGCGCCGTGCGGCCCCGGGACGTCTTCGTCTTCGGATCAGCTCGCGCCAGGAGGAGACATTTAACGATTCTCTCGTGGCCGAGCTTGGCCGCGACATGGATGGGACGCATGGACTCTGGCCTCCGGAAGAGAAAACAGCCGCTGGGACTAGTCACCTGCTGCTCATTCACATCCAGGTCCCAAAAGTTGTAGAGTCGCAGCCAGTCGCTTATGTGAACCAATGCCTTCATGTGCACCAGCTCTCTCTTTGTAAGACCGGCCGTCGACTCGACGTCAACTTCCTCATCGTCGTGTGGCTCCTGGTATTTAGTTACCTGGTTTTTGGGATGTGTTACAATGTAAGTACCTCGGGACTATCGGTGACTCTGCGCAGAAAATTTTTCAGACCCCAATATGATCTCTCCTGATCCTTCTTGTACTTCTTCGTGCGACATCGACTCTTCAACGTCGGTGTAGGTATGATGGCGTCAGCAAAGGTCACGGAGCCCGGAAGGCTGGTGGAGGTTCCGGCATGAGCACTCATAGCCATGTCCGAGGTCACTACCATAGCCGGATTGGAAAAAAAGACTGAGCTTCAGCCAAAATGGCTAGCTCCTACTAGTCAGCAACGATAATATAGGGGGCTCAATAATTAGACTAAGGTTTTGGGGCCCATTATACAGTAATTAAAATAAGGAACCCGCAAAATAGCATTGGTAATTATTTAGGCCCCTCTATTAGTTTAGGGCCGAGTGTGCCTTCTGAGGCTCGAGGCAGACCAGAGGCTCTCGAAGATCTGCGGCGGTTGCCATGCGGGTTCTATAAGGGTGCTGTGGGACACCATAGACATACTCTGAAGGGGTTTTGCGGTTCATGATATAAATCCTGCATTACCCATAATAAGGAATATACCATACTTCCCATAGTTTAGGGTCCTTAAGGTAATGCAGGATTTATATCATTACCCTGAACCCTAAACCCTAAACACTATGAGGCTTCTTTTCGGCGATCCAGAAGGGTTTCTATTATCTGCGGTCATGCAATGCAAGCTATCGCACAGAGAATCGCACAAGGGCTTTTAAAGGGTCGTCTGGCCGTTGAAATATAACTTGGACTCACCTATAATTACTTAAGGCCTTAAGGCATATATTGCTAAATCAAGGGGTGCAGGGTTTAGGGTTTAGGGTTTAATCAAAGGGTGCGGGCCGCTCTGTGTCATCAATCTTGCAGCCGAGGCACTGGAAAGAAAGGAGCGGGGTAGGTTTGCGGTGGGCTTGAGACAGCTGGAAATGCCTGCAGCAATATGGACCACCTGTCAGCCATCTGCGAGCGAAGTTGAAAGGTGCTTCTTAGTTAGGGCACTTTATGTACACTGTACGGGTCCGCGCCATAAAAAGGATCTTACTAACTCCCACTTTGAAGGCTGAAGCGTTTGTGTGCCAAAGGTGCGGGAGCAGGGCGAGGGCACCGCAGCCTATATATAACTTCGCGAAGTCACGACTTGTTGGGCTCAATCATTCGTGGACCTGGTAGTGTCTCACTTACACCCCCCAAAACCCAAGACCCTAAACCCTAAACCCTAAACCCAAACTGCCCCTAAACTCGTCCCGCAGCACCTCTACCGCAATTGACATTCCAGGGCGAGGCTGCAGGCTAAACCCGGAAATCGCGTGCAGATCGTTGCTGGTTGGCCTACTACTACTACTACTACTACTACTACTACTACTACTACTATTACTACTACTACTACTACTACTACTACTACTACTACTACTACTACTACTAGTCCTGAAGATGGGCTCACGGCCAATCTCGTTCACGTTGTAGACCTTGGCAGGCTCGAAACCGAATCCGAGCCCCGCAAGTTGAAAGTTAACTGTCTTTGGCGCAGGGTTTACGAGTTAGAGCTTATAGGTCTTGGGGAAGTTTAAGGAAGTTTAGGGAAGCTTTATAGGAAGTAAGTGTAGAGTTTAGGGTTTAGGCTTAGAGGTTTAGGGAAATTTACGGAAGCTTAGGGAAGCTTACGGAAGTGCAGGGTCTAGGGCTTATGGCATAGGTTTGTGGCCTGGTGCCCTAAACGTCAAACCCTAAACCCTAAACCCTTAACCCTAAACCCTAAAACCATCCGGCCTGGAAGGTTAAGAAATTGGGCGCTGGAACCGACCGTCTGATTGGCGAGAGCGCTGGC